TAAGGAACCAACCAACTAAGTAACCAACTAAGTAACCAACTAAGTAACCAACTAAAGACCAACTAAGTAACCAACCAACTAAGTAACCAACTAAGTAACCAACTAAGTAACCAACCAACTAAGTAACCGACTAAGTAACCAACCAACTTACTAACTTATGGATATGCCTGATGTGTAAGGAAAGTGACAGAACAGTGAACACAAACAACAATGACGTCACTTACTCTGTAGTCGATGACGCTAAACCCCAGCCCTTTCTCCCCCTTCTCCAGCTGGATCAGCAAGGGCTGGGTGCTCCACATTGCCAGACTTGTCAGCGGCTCCAGTGACCTTGACCTCGGCTTGTGCGACCCCTGACCCTCAGCTTCCGTGGCTCTAGGGATGGCTATCTCAGATTTAGCTTTGATGAGTTTCTCTATAGAACATGTCCGGAGGTCGATCCCAGCGCTAGATGGACATACATAACAACATAGCTGTCTTCATCAGGCAAAACTACCTATCTCAATGACATATAGTTCAAACCATTACGTCACGAAAAATTGCCGTTATATCACAGCAAAAGTGTCTATTACAGTGGGACTGAAACATATGAGGTTTAGTAAAATGGTGCCGGTAGTGCGAACCATCAGAAAAAGAAAAAGAAAGCCCTGGGGAAACATTAGTTTTACTACTGCTGCTGCAGCATCTGCTGGCAGTATTATGCAGCTGTCGCCATCAATACCACTACCACTACGACTATTTATTTGTATGTTGCTTCATTTCCCTAAATACTGTCCTTCTCCGGGTTTCTTTAAATCGTGCACATTTCCTTTTTTTCTATTTGCCGTCCATGGGAGAGCCGTTCTTGCCAAACTGACTGCGACCATAAGAGCAGCGGCTGCTGCTAGTACTGCGAACTGCCTGTTTTAACCATTTCTGTGGTTCAAACAGGAAAAAAAGGGGCCCGGGGGGGGGGGGGTTGAGCCTGAGGATTTAAGACTGCATGGCTGGTGCTGACGCCACAGATTGTGCAGGTTGGGAGTTCATTTTCCTTCTGATAGAAACAAAACCACCACCTTATTGAAGATTCGAACCTGACTCTCCGGCATGAGAACCCACAGTTCTTAACGGTTTGACCAACCACTCCTCGCAGCTAGTAAGACTAACAACGACTTCGATCAATAAGACGGTTCTACAATCAAAACAAGTAGGGAGTGACACAATGTATAAATCTGGCATCTAGACAGTAACTGACACAAACGTATCTAAAAACAAAAACAAAAACGTTTATTTAGCAGAATCGGTGTTGCGGTACATAAATATACCTGAGACACCAAGCGGCTCTTGCCCATTAACTTCTTCCATTAAAGTTTATAGCAAATTGCTGTAGAATTTGATGTTTTACAATAAAAGACGCGCCCGATTTATGAAGATCGCAAATCTAAACCTTCACAACAGTGAAAACTGCTTCTCTCTCCACCACCTCCATTACCTAGGTAGGTTGGTAGGTAGGTAGGTAGGTAGGTAGGTAGGTAGGTGGGTTGGTAGGTATGTAGGTAGGTAGGTAGGTAGGCAGGTAGGTAGATAGGTATGTACGTAGGTAGGGCGGCAGGTAGGTAGGTAGGCAAGCAGGCATGTTGGTAGGTAGATAGGTATGTAGGTAGGCAGGCAGGCAGGTAGGTATGTAGGTAGGTAGGCAGGTCGGTAGGTAGTTAGGTAGACAGGCAGGCAGACAGACAGGTAGGTAGGTAAGTAAGTAGGCAGGTAGGTAGGTAGGTATGTTGGTTCTTTGCTGAAGAAAAACAATTGTCACGTTAAACTAGCACCCCTGAAAAAAAGCTTTAGGTTATAATTATGACTAGGTTATATGCGCCATCTAAAATGGCTTAGCATTTCACGTCACCAAGAGCCATGAAAAGGACTTCTACAATAAACCTATGTAATCATATGATCACCCCCCACCCCCCACCCCTCTTCCCAAATTTCTGACCTGGCCCCAAAATCAATCAGCGACTTGTACATGGTATTCTCATCTGATACTTGTGTTAGGTTCACTTAATCTCAGGTCATTTTTCATTTACAAGTTTGTTGGGCTGGTCGATTTCCCTAAAGGTTACGGGTGTGTCCCGCTCTGTTGTTCGCTTTCTGGGTTTTCTTGCATTTACGTTTTTATTCCGAGAAAGAGAATGCCTGTAACATAGGCTGCAGCACTCTCTATGTTAGGCACAGTTTCTCCATATTATTGGAGTGTTAAAAGCGCTGGCGTGCTGAAATATAAGTAGTTATGTGCGGTAATTGAGGTATTATTTCGATTAAGCCACCTTCTTTATCCTTAGTAAAAGATGGCGGCCAAAAGTGATTGGTCTGTTCGTGTGGCTTTATATATCCTTAGTAAATATCGATCGGGACAGCCACCCTCTTTGTCCTTAGTAAATATCGATCGTGTGGCTGATGACAGCACAAGTGATTGGTTTTAGGGAAAGGAAGGTTAGGAAATCGATACTTTGTAGATGCATTTATT